CTCACTGATTGATTGATTGATTGATTGACTCACTGATTGATTGATTGATTGATTGACTCACTGATTGATTGAAACATTGATTGGCTCACTGATTGATTGATTGATTGATTGATTGATTGATTGATTGACTCATTGATTTTTCACCAAGATTACTGCACCCCCTGACAATAAATCAACACCAGATCATGCGATACCATTTGTAACAGACAAGACCTGGGCTGCAACAATAGAACAATCAGTCAAACCAACCAAAACATATGGAATTCCCCTCACAAACCAACAGCACTCAAAACCTTATCGTATCTCACTGGTATGTAATGATATGGCTATTGAGAGCAAGCAGTGTTGATATGTAAAAGGTATCTTTAGTATAGAGGTGTGTGTTCGTATTTTTCAGGTTGTTTTTGTGAAGGATAACTGTGGATATTGCACAAAGATTATGCCASTGTTACAAGACATGGCCAACCAAGTCAAACTTATCGGTATAGCTAAACCTAATGATTTATTAATAATTATATGAAACTAAGAGGTCTGTAGGCAAATCATCATCATCGTTATTATCTTAGTCATCAACATCATCATCATATTGTTATCATCACTATCATTACAGTCAGCTTTCCTTATAACGGGCAGTCTCTGGACTGTTAATAAGTCTCCGTAATAGCGAGGGTCCGTTGTAAAGGGAGTTATTTTCAGTACAGTYAACTTTCGTTAATCGGACACCTTTGGGACAGGAAAATTCAAATTCAAATTGAAATTCAAATTGACATTCAAATTCAATTCAATTTCAAATTCACATTCACATTCACATTCAATTTCAAATTCACATTCAAATTCACATTCAATTTCAAATTCACATTCAATTTCAAATTCACATTCAAATTCAAATTCAAATTCAAATTGACATTCAAATTCAATTCAATTTCAAATTCAAATTCAAATTCACATTCACATTCACATTCAATTTCACATTCAATTTCAAATTCACATTCAATTTCAAATTCACATTCACATTCAAATTCACATTCAATTTCAAATTCACATTCAATTTCAAATTCACATTCAAATTCAAATTCAAATTCAAATTCAAATTCAAATTCAATTTAAAATTAAAATTAAAATTGTCGTAATAGCGAGTGAGCGCTGTAAAGGGCGTTGTTTTCAGTCATCTTTTTTGTGTGGGGATATTTAAGTGTCTGTAATAAGGTGGCGTCCGTAATAACGACGTCACTGCCTGYTACCCAAGAGTTGAATGTCATTTCAAAATCACAGCACTGTACAATCACCCAGAAGGTTCATAAAGTTCTGTCAATCATTTTTAGGTGTGTCCATGTATCTTATGAACTGCTCTACCGATCCAGTTCACTGCAAAAAGCACGGTATAACAGGGTTCCCAACCCTAACTGCTTTCCGTAGCCTTAGCTGGGCGTTAGCAGGGCACTGTTTTCCAACAGGACAGAGGTCGCGGTACATACGTGTAGATTATCATGGTGCTATMGTGGTGAGTATGTAACACCGCTGTTTACTTCACTAGGGGCTCGTCTCTCTCGCTCTCATTCTTTCTCTTCTGGTTCCCTGTAAAACAAACCAAAACACAGCAAAACAGAACAAAACAAAACAAAACACAGCAAAACAGAACAAAACAAACCAAAGCATAACAATACAAAAGAAAATACAACAGAACACAGCAAAATACAGAGAGCCCGCTGCACGGTCTTGTAATCAAACGTCAAAATATGATTTTCAGATTTTGAATGTATTATTGTACGTGATGTGTTGTTTTTAGACATCTTTATTGCTCGATTGGTTGTCCAGTATTAATACTCCTGCAGTTAATAAGGAATACATGTATACTCACCTTCCTGATAATATGGTATGTAAGACATCTTTCCTTCTTGTGGTATCTGTAAGTAAGGTGTTCAAATGTATCTGTTTTCAACCTTCATTTCTCTCCTGTAATTGGTAGTTTTTAAATCACGTGATCTAGAAGGATGACGTTCTCTCTTGTAATTGGTAGTTTTTAAATCACGTGATTTAGGAGGATGACGTATACTTGGTTGCCACCCTATACACGCGGTCGTTGGCACGTCGGTACCTGTCATCGACACTGATTGACAAGTGGTACTCCTACCAGTGTTATACACTAGTATGTGAACTGCTGTATGGCCTGGTGCCGTGTTACGCAATCTATACACGTGACGTAGTTGATCACGTGGCTGGCACGAGGAATGATAAGGATCTTATAGTCTCCAAGGTTAGTTGGGTAGGATTGATMCTGCATTAATTGCCCTAGTTGTAAAAATATGTTATAATGCAGAAATATTTTGGCAAGGGTGAAAATATATCGACTGATGCGTTTAAAATTAGGAAAAAAAAGCACGCCAGCGAATATTTTTGGCAATTATCATAACTTTTAAGAGGTTTACATACATTCGTTGGTTTGTTTTTCCCGTCTAGTTGTCATTACGATAAATTGTTTTTTTTTTTTTTTTTCAGCTTTCCATTCAGCGTAAAGATGGTGTTCGTGCTAATATCTTCGAGCTTGGTTATAGTCTTGCATTCACTCTCAATCATGACAGAAATTCCAGACTCCATTCGTTTCACAAACCTCACAGGTAGAGTGTTAGAACTGAAACGCTAACAGACATTTCCTTGCTCAGTTATTCTTCTTGTATTTCTTTGCCATATTCTCTTTCTCCTCTTTCGTCTTCTTCTCTTCTCCGTCCTCATCCTCTTTTTCCCTTCTTTGTATTTTTATACGCTTTCTTCTTCACCTCCATTTTCTTCTTTTTCAGTGTTCTTCGTCTTCTTCTCCTTCTCTTTCTACTGTCGTAGTTGTTAAAATGTCTCTGCATTGCTGTTTTTATTAATCTATATGACTTGTAACAGGTACAACCTTCCTAATGACTTCAAATGTGAAGACGATCACAGGACATGTACAGACTACRTTGTGCAGTTCGTTCGCGATCATAGACGACTTCCTGTCACCCAGATCACCACGGCCATATTTCACACAAAKACTGGGTAAGAGTTGCTATATATGGATCGTGATTGACAACTATCATGACACATGAATCTCTTTTCAGGGCTCAASACACAAGTGATGTGTTCTCTCAAAACCTTCCCGTCATGCTTATTCTGGCTCACCGTCAGAACATATCACGTGACAGTGTCTTCTACAGGGTGAGTGAAGCATGATGGTCTTGGTCTCATAAATACCAAATATTGCTTATAAGCCTTTTCCCGTTCAATGCGAGCGACCGCTGTTTTAGTACACAATAGACTCACTTGCGTAGAGAACAAAAGAAAGCACGAAGAAATTTTGACATTACAATAGCTCTAGAAAGTTGAATCTTCTCCGATTTGAACCTATGGCTGTATGAGCGAGCCTTCTGAGAATACAGGCTTAGCCTCAAGTCGGAGAAAATTGTAGGGATATTGTACTGACAACATTTTTTCGTCCTTTCTTTCATTTTTAGTAAAGTCTCTGCGAATGAGAACTGTTGTCAACTAAAACAGCGGATGCTCGCTTTGAACGGGAAAAAGGGCGTATTACTAGTAAACAAAGGAATATAGATGAATTTAGTACCCACTTTAATATTACTCTGTATTTAAAATTTAATTTAAGTAGTTTTTGCACATTTTAACAGGAGTTAATTTCTGCCGCGTATACGATGTATCAAGACATAGTATTTGCTACTGTTAATGTCGACGAGTTTTCATACTGGGCAAGTAGGTTTGTTCCTAAAGACTACGGAAGCAAATATGCGTACGGTAAGTACACCTATGATTTGAACACAAGTCCAGAGAATTCCTCATATCATTCACATTCCATCCAATAATTTTTTTATCAGCTAGACATGATAATTATCACTGCGATGCACCTAAGAACGATGCTATAATTCTTCATATCATTCACTTTCCATCCAATATTTTTTTTATCRGCTAGACATGGTAATTATCACTACGATGCTCCTAAGARCGATGCTATAATTCTTCATATCATTCCCATCTCATCCAATAATTTTTGTTATCCGATATATGATGGTATGATTCTCCATATCACTCTCATATCTTCCACTAATGTTTTTTATCACTATCATTTTTGTTTTATCATCTTCAACATCATTAATAATTTTCTTGTCAGACACGTCTTTCTTGCCAACACTCTTCCACTACCCTCGGCTATGTATCGTTCGATGGCACGACCATCAGCATGCTGCTTTTTATCCTCCCGTGGATGAAATGGAAAGATTGGGGACTAGAGTCCAGGATAGACTCAATAAGATTGAYGCGCAGCAGATTATAAAGTTTGCTCAAAACTTTTTAAAGAATCCCGAAAAGGTTGCTGTTAGAACAGAAATGTTTTAATTTACTGTCCGCAGATGTTTCTAATGGTATTATGACAAAACTAGGAAAAACACATCAAAGAACATATGAGTAATGCATTTAGAGGATTCACTGATCTTAATATTTATTCTGTGGGAAACAAATGGCTACTAGAACGCAGAACGTGTTTCATCTCAGATCGACAGGACTGTGTTGTTTCAATATTTATACCAATCGATGTACAGTGTAGATAATTTCTATATTTATGTAGATAAAATCTTTATATTGTAAATACAATGTTTTTGCAAAAAAAATAAACAATACATGAAATAAAATAAATAAATAAATGAATAAATAAATAGGTGAACAAAACAAAATAGAAAAAAGAAGGATATCAGGTAAATTAAAAATCTAAACAATTTGTAACTCTTCAGTGAACATTTTTTATTATAACAATTTGATTGACAACTGTGGTAGCACCTGTACAGAAAGTAAATATAACCAGCAATATAAACATTGTCGAATAATAAAACAATCCCCTGGTCGATTAAAGACTTTGAATTCAATAACACCATCAAAACTATGGTTCAAACACTAAGCAAGCAGTATTTGACATCAATATATTAAATCTTCTAGGATTCAAAATGTTTTCGCAATTATAATGTATGAGTGTATCTCCGCCTCGACCAGGAGCACACCTGCCTCGACCTAACGCAATAGAGTGAAGAYACTAAACCCGTGAACAAACTTTGATAGTCCGACACAAAATAGAACAAATAATTACAACTATTSAACCCTTCTGAGACGTCCAATTTCACATGTGCAGAATCCATTGCAAATTACACCAATCGGTTCCCTTTTTTTCTTATGCAAGCAAGTCTTCACTTGTTTATTAAAAATATTTGTCTAAGTGCAAACACTAAAACAATTTTCACGATTTACGGCTAAAAATAGAGACTGGACAATAGTATAAGCACACGCTTTTAGTTTTTGTATTCTTTCTTCACGGGTTATTTGACTTTTTTTCTGGCGACCTCCATTGAGGCAGTATTGTTTCTAATAACTCGTGGATTGTTACTAAGCTTCTGTACATGTAAAGTTCGAAGTTTGAGCAGATAAAATCACTCGGTAATATAAATAAAAATAAATTTACAATGCATTAAAATATATCAGCGTAAAAGAAAGCTACATATAAAACATACAAACAGTATTAATTTTCCCGCGAGGTTAATGTAGCCTATTGAATTAAGGTGCTCTTKTACGTTATCTGATTGGCTCGCTGGTACTTTGGTTCTATGAGTTGGGCTTGGTGTGTTCGTGGAAAAAGCCTGGGAACCAGTTGGTTTAAGTGTCGTTTCCAGTTTTGGGCACCCTGTGGTGAAAAAGAAAGACAAAAATTRATGRATGTTGACGCTCTAAAAAGACCCGGGTTCCGTGTTTGTGGTTTTGGAAAAATTGAAATGGTGGCTACTGAAATGAATCTCAAAGGATAGAGAGGGATTTTCCAATGATGTGATAAACYTTCTYCTTACCGTCGTAATATAAGCATTCGTAAAYCTCAACKCGCATRCAGATRCTACCAGGYGTTTTCCAAGCTGTRGGCAAAAAGCGCACAAAACGTGCTCGTATTTTTGGCTCTAAATATTGTTCGTTGACAGTGTCTGCGTCCCAATTACCATCAAATATCTTCAGAAAAAACAGTATATTAGTTATAGAATTACTTTGAAAATTATGACATGTTAATTAATCATTAATAAATATTAGTCACTATCATAAAAAAATTTCAATATAACCTTTGATGTGCTATTGGCGCTGTCTTTATATGAAGTCCAGTCTCTCTCGTCCAAACTATAGTTCAGCTTGTACTTGGTAACCCAGCCTAATGTGGTATATCCTTGGGTTGCGAGACGAGAAACAGTCCTTGCCTGACCAAGATCAATCTAGGTGAACACGAAGGAAGAATTTCAGTAAAGTAACTCACCATTTGTTCAAAGTTCTTTTGATCTTTGTGTTATGAAAAGCTTAGAAACTTTATAAACCGGTTTTACTTTATAAAACCAGTCTAAACTCGTTACTTAAACCTGTTCTACCAGTAAGTACTGTTGTTGGTTTTATTTCTTAGGAATGCTTTGTTAAACCAGTCTTAACTCGTTACTCAAACCTGTTTAACCTGTAAGTAATGTTGATTTTATTTCTTAGGAATAGTTTGTTAAACCAGTCTAAACTCGTTACTTTAACCTGTCTTACCTGTAAATACTGTTGTTGTTGGACTTGGCTTGTGCACCAGGCCCCCCATCGTACGCTGCCGTTGACTATAGTTTGTTGCATATTTAGTCGACCATACGACGGCAGATGGTTCTGGGAATGTGACGATGCATTGATTTGGAGACTTGGTATTCTATTGTCCTCCATCCCCACAGGTATCCCACAGTCACTGAAACGAATATCTAAATAAAAAGAAGTGTCRTGAGCAAAAAAAAATATTTTTTTATCATCATCATCATTATTATCCGGCGCCATCACAAACACTCTGTTTTCATCTTCATCATATACAAGCATCCGAAAAAWGGTTTATGTAACGATAATTAGAAACGATMTCTGAAAACYCTRCAGCGCGACAAGATGGTGTGTGACTACGTTAATAGAAGAAAAGGATTTCTGTACCTGATTTTGAATGACAGCCGTACATTTCAACCCTCATGCAGGCGACGCCATTGTGTTTTAGAGGACGAAAGCGAATAAATCTTGCAATAATGGGACGTTTGAGGACATTTCGCTGCACAGATGAGTCATCTTTGTTGCCTTTAAAGACCTTGAACAAAAAGGGAGAAATAGTTCAGAATAGGTTCTTAGCGTAATAGTACTCAATCTCTTTCTGTGATATAGTTGTAGTTGGTTCTTTCCTTGGTTTAAAAGTTATTCAACATCCAGCTTAATACTTGTTGTTTATTTTTTGCGTAGTTGTAAGTTATTGTTTTTCTTGTTGTTTCTTTGTTTTCCTAACATTAATGTTAACCATTAACATTAGTTAATTAATTAATTAATTAACATTAACATTAATGTTAACCAATATTGGTTGTTGTAATTTTTGTCTTGTTTGTTTCACACCTTTTGTTTCTTGTCTTCTTCATAAACTGACCAGCGGTATCCATCACAACTGTGATTGACAGCATACTKTATGACCCAGTTCCCTGTCGGGTATTGCAGTCCTTGTGTAGCTAATTTACGAACTACAGTCTCCCTTTGGAAGTCTATCTGTAAATATGGAGCTTCATCGGTATCTTCTGCACACCATCCACCAAAGTCTGTCTGACCAGAAACCCTGTAAAACGACACAGGAAACTTAATGACAATCGCTAGATAGCTGTCTGTCKACATATTCAATTGTCAGTCAATGAAGGTGGCGCAAAAAATCACGGAAGAAAAGTTCCACCATATTTGGACTGACACAAACAATAGGTTCTGTAATTATGATAGAAAACAAGTAGTTTAGTCATAAATGGAACTCAACAAAAGAAAGTAAGCGACTATATGAAAAAACCTCGTGATTGCGCATGCTCTATATGATTTCTGAGCCATGCCACATGGCTGAATGCCTCATATGGAAMCCAAAAGATATCAAAGTTTGATCCTGRAGCATATTTAAAAAAAAGAACTTCAAAGTCATTAATAATTATGCACGGGCAAAGATTTAGCCCCGTCATACTAGCGGCTGGAAGGACTTAATGACGGATCCGTGATGAAACTCTCGAAGCATAGTSCAGCGTCTTTTCTCGGTCACTTTACATGTAGAAAGATMTWTGYCAGTTRCYGTCCTCATCCCGGTGAGTGGTTCTAGGAGGGGCARAATCTTCGATTACAATCGCTACTTCTGTCATGGCCTGCCCGATGATTTGTGGTGAACTCCGGTTAGTGTTGTATTCTCGGATGTGTGGAACCCGTATGTCATCACCGGACAATCCGACCGTTCCAAAATCCACCTCATTTCAGCAGACAATATTTGGCAAGTGGCCAGTAATTCCATGATCTACTAATGACTGCTAGCATCATAGAGCTGTTCTAATCGTYYCAAAGCCGTTAATGCCAATGTCATTATGACGCTTCCTGGCGTAAAGCTTGGATAATGAGGTACCTTGACTGATGGAAGGACCACAATTGAAAAGATTCCCCATATATGGAAAAATACCTTAGTTTTCTTGCAATTTTATCTCAGAAATATCGTAAAAGAACCAATTTACTTCAACATAAGATCCAAGTTAATGAGAAAGCAGATCTCTGTTGCATGGAAAGTATTTTGTTTACCGTCGAATCAACTCCTTGGAATGTCGGTAATATCGATCAAGAACCTCAAAGCACATCTTCCCTAATGGTTRAGAAACAAATCCTATTTATGTTAACGAAAACATGGTTTTAATCTTCTGTGGTTTACACAGTGATTGTTGTTGTTAATTATACTTGAAATACCGATTATCACACACAAAAGAAGAATTGTTAAGATGTGATTTCTCTTAATAGTTAGGAAACAGATTTTTCTTCGGTAAACATCTTCTCMGTTTCAATGCTTACTTGTGGCRTTTCATACGTTGTAATCACGCTAAAATGGKAGAAGTTTCCCTGGAGAAATCTTCAACTTTTTCTTTCATTCATGTAGCAACAGAGTTCTTACATTACTCACTTCAACCACACAACAGAACCTTTGCATGTTGATAAAAAAACTAGAGAACTTTTACATGTTGATAAAAGAAAGTAGAGAAATAGTCGTCATCAACATGATAGTATCCTGCAACTGAAAAAAGCATCTCCTTTTGGCCATGAAGTAGGTTTTATGTGGTGTACTGTCAAAGTCACCATCATTCAACATTTTACAATAAGTTGAAGTTGCTTCTCAGCGACTGAGTTAGTGTTTGTCGAAAATATCGACCGAAATCTTGAGTTTGCGCATGAGATGAGATGATTTAGTTCCATTTCATCTTGTAAATCTTATACCTTATCAACACACGTTGTGAAATGGTTTTCAAAACATGAAAATAAACATGATCTTCATCGAAAACTTCCCAAGCAACTCTGAAACCAATTGCTCAAAGTTTACATAGGCATATCATACTGCAACTCGCTTTTTTTTGGGCATATACATTTTATAATGGTTAATTATGACTGCTTATAGTTGTACATTTAGATCATTCATCAAGAAACTAATCGTATTRCTTACCATTGGTTCCGGAGTCTCGCTGTATTTGGTTTGGTATATATTGAGAACGAYGACGAAGCCTTGATTTGGTGGTCTTTAATGGCGCGTGAAGTCATTCCAAGCGAAGCAGAGCAGTCTAAAGAAAACAGTGTGCATTGTTATACATGTAACATGAATGTGAGCAATGCTGATTCTAGTTTCTCATTCAATGATAGTTTTACTTTGCAGCTTTGTTTCCCTGTTTGTGCGTTTGATATAGTGAAAGTTGTCTCACCAAGAAACGTCGATGCTGCTGTTGTTTTTTACAGCTAACCAAAACATAGCTAAATGGAAAATAGGGACCGCATATCATAGGAACTGAATTACAACCATACAAATTCATGTGTAAACTCGCTTTCTTTTCTTCAAAGAACAGCATTTTTAAATCTTTGAAATACTAGCTTTAAAGCAATAAACGTTTGGACAACTTCACTACGTTTAGGATGAAACAAGGACAAAAATTMTTTGTTAGCTCATCTATGCATTGCTCTTGCTGAAGGCTATCCATATGTGACATCTCTTGTCGTGTTTCTGTCCTAAAACAATGTAGTATCTTGAACTCTAGAAATGTTYTGATTTTGAACTTCGATCGTAGGTCAGTGCCTACGATGTAATCCTTAAAGACTGAGGCAATTCAATTTCCATGCGGTGGTTTAGCGCGCGCAACGTATTCTGCAGCCCAGTGTGAGAAGGATATTCTTCAAAAAGGCGTTAATGCTTTGCCACTTAAACAATGCTCGCACATCAGGAGTCCAAAATCCTGTGTAATTTTTATGTTTTTGTATTGTTGACTAAAAGAAAAGTAAACAGGATCGCGCTTTTTGTTTTGACTTGAAGGTCGAGACATTACATGAGAGGAACAAAGTTTGTACAATTAAAGTTGTCGAATTTTGACCTCGCGTGTAAGTCTTCGACACCCCATCACCAAGATCAAGCAGTTCTGAATGGCAACTGGCTTTTGCCTAATGCTGTACACTGAAGAAGAAATTTTAATAAAAATTGTTTTGAATTTGAAGAGTTATAATTGAAATGCTGCCGTAGCAATGAAAACGCCTCAATTTCATTTTTTGAACAGCTTARATTTATTTCTTACCATGGTATTAACATCAAAATGGAGCAATAACTTTGCCTTTCTCAATACTGTGTCATTATCAATGATAGTATACGATTTAAATTAACAACAGTAAAGAAAAGTCCGCACTAAGCCTTCGCTAGAACCCTTCACTATCCAAAGCAAGAGGTCTTCGCCGGTTTCATATCTTCAAAAGTCAGTGAATTACTATAGTTCAGTTACTTAGTCTAAAGTCTGTTGTTTCTTGAGTTCCCTATTGATTTAAACATGAAGTACTATTCCAGTTCTTTATATTTTTATTGCAAATATCCACTAATTCAATTATAAGCCGCAAATAAAAGCGTTTTAGTTGTGAAAACCGTTGAAAACACTCTAYAAGCATATCATCGTTTCCGTTTTGCTTTTGAACAAAGTCTTCACGAAGGAAGAAAAACGTTTTATAAAAGTATACGTTGTACTAAATGTACTAAAATATSTTGTTTATGATATGAAATATTAAACCTGTTGGAATTTTGATTTTATAAGAAGGAAGAGGTATTAAAATTGTGGTTTTTRCTTGTAGCTATACCAGTCTCGTCATGTTGGGCGCCATTTTGCTTTWGCTGTTTTAACTGAAAACTTTCTCGGCGTTCAATTTGYACTGTATTTTGAAATGTTTARCTTCTAAAATCTTTGTTGTACACCTTACCAAGACTGAGATATACTGTCAAATGGTTAACGAGTTAGATTAATCGCTAAAAATGACATATTTTTCTTTCTTTTTGTACTCGAACAAAAACCTAAATCTTAGGCCTTAATCAAATACTACTTGTAGTCATATGAACAAAATGGACTTCTTCGTGCTGTTTGGTTTGTTATTTCGATATTCAGGACATGAATTATCGTGTACTTTACATATTTCAAGTATAAATTGGGTTTTCAACAGTTAAAAGTGTCCTAAATCTCGCTTATGAGTTGCTAACAGAAAGGAATTTAGGCTTCATTGCCATGCAAAGCATCATGCGCCACCATGATAGGTACCATCATGTTGAACGAAAGAAACTGTTGGACATTTTCACAGACAATTCTTAATCGTATTAATAAAGCTGAATTATCAGAGCCAAGTAATAGTCAACATTTAGAAGACATATGGAATTGTAAGACATTTTTCATTCAGTGAAAAGAGAACTAGCATCGTTTATAAGGTAAACTATTTACCTTCGACAAGCAATTAGTTGGATTCGGGACATTCTTATAAAAAGACTGATTCTAAATCTCAATTAAGACTYAAATAGTTCATTCATTACTTATACATAAAGTATAGACTCCATTCTTTTGACTGGACATACCTCTTCTGGCGAAAACAGAAGGGCTCTAGAAACTGAAAATGGCCACGAAAACTACYAACAAGACTGGAAAGCATTTACAGTAAAAGRCATCACAGACTTTCTAAAWCTTGTTAAAAACTTTCAGTTTTTGTTTRTTTAGAAAGGATTTTTGGGACCACAAATGATTTTTCTCGGAGACAGRACTAAAACRAGGGATTAGTGGGTGATTAGAGGGAGAATATGATGGCGACCATCATTTCTGGAAGGACTTTCCTTCTCGGAACTTAAAAAAGTGTAGAATAATAATACTTATTTGGAAATGATAATCTCTCAATAACATAACTTAAGTGATTTGGTAATTGYCCCATGAAAAAGAAAGCAGCTTGGAGCTTGAAGRACACATCGTACAAGAAGGACTGATCGAGTGGTCTTCAAACCACATTCCAAGTCGGGACAACTGTATTTGAACAACTTCTTTCATGAACATTTCATTCGAATTATTTGATTTGATTGTTTGATTATCTGTATAGGTATTTTTAAACGGCGATGAACTAATCTTCTCCTTTCGACGTTTAAATTGAGAAATATGAATTGACTTCAACTCTRAAGAATGTAGCTTAAATGCTTGTAAAACTGCTCGSTAGGAAAACTAGTACTCGTMTCTTTCAAAACCTTTGAGTACGGTAAACCAGACATGAACATACCTGCTTGACAGAACTTGATCATGAMAAGAATCCAAACAGCAGAGAAAAKCCACATTTGCTCCTTCATTCTCCAAAGAATAACTTTTTTAAACATTTTTTGATGAGRTCTTCCAATGCGCAATTCAAATGTTTAAGTTTTGGTGATAATGAGCTAGGTGAAGAGAGACTTTCCCAATGTTCTGCCAGGCCGATGTCTTAGSAAAATAACTAGGGATTTACTAATCCTATAACTACAAGTGACAATAAGGTGCTGGACTACATTACCGTCTTTCGATGAAATACCCTGTCCGAGCTGAACACTGGGTTCTATATTAATTGCTGCCCCTTTGTCTGACCAACRACCATTAATTTTCTTTGACAGSTTCGTAGCTATTATTACTCAAAAGCAAGGCGGACGCTCCAGATCATCTTTCYCGAGGAAGTCATAAATCTTTCTATAAACCTCCCGTGACAGGTGCTTCAAACCCAGCCGACTTATCAACTCTTGCAATATAGTATATCGTGGATTTATTGACCTGACGGCCAACATGATTTACACTTCATAATTTATGCTTTTTGACACTTCGTGATGAGCACGCTGTGGGATGTTTCCTTGTCGATTTGACCACAAAACACGACTTGAGCAACAAGCACTCAGCTAGGATTGGCATTTCTCGTGAAATGTTGGGGTTAACGTGATTTTAGAGAGTTTTTTGTAAAGGTGTCATAAGGTGTTCATGAAGTGTACAAAGTTCTCGCAGAGGGTGTCAGACATGATTTATTGATGCATTATCCAATTATAGGCCATAGGTGCATATCAAGCTACTAATATAGCAAATATTAAGTTATATCATGATGTAATATTGGAAATATGAGGTGGTATAATGACGTGATATCATTGTAGTTATTTTGAATGATAGGAATTATCTCAGATTGGGATTACACCGATTTCYCTTGTCGACTGAATATACTGATATCCTTATCCTGTATTTTCGGGAGAAATAGTCTTTGGTACACTCAGGAACGYTTCTGATAGATGCTCWWYACAAACCTAAGGCATTAAMCGCCTCAAGACAAAGTCAGCCATGTCATATTTGGAGTACAAATCGATGACAAAGGGGGTGTCAGATTAGTACGTWTTTCACAAGTTTATTCCACTCGTTTTGAATTAGTAGATAGCACACGGCAGATATCCTATCGGRATCCAGGATTTTSRTTTCATKGAAGTGTGAAGACCCACTTTTGGTTGTCACACTTCATAAGAAATRCATCTCAGSGGGGMYTCACTRWSATTACTTTATCCCAATATTCAATTCCTATTACTCCRAAATGATTCCACTTTCATTTCTGCTCTGGTGTGGCATTCCAYGWTGTTCACAATAGAGATCTGTTTGRGAGGGAATCCAAATTCCATAGGGTTGGGTTTCAGAGTCTATGACGGGTACTAACAAGGTCCGTAATCTAAGTGCTAATGCGCTACTCAGAGCAAATATACAATCAATCCTAAAATGATTGCAATTCAAACGAATAGGACTCATACTTTGAGATATAGGACGATTAAACAAATAAAAACAGTATAAAAGACTTGGTCACTGTTTGAATGAACTTCCTTCGTCCAAGAGACATTTGTTTGCGCGCAGCGCGTTAAAATAACTGATATCTTTCCGAAGCAAATTGTAAATCAAACATACAAATGGTAATACATTGCTTGAAATGCAAATGAATGAAACTTACAAAGAGTATGAAAAAGTGCGGCTATTCCAACCTTAACGARCGCGCGCACTTTTCAATAAGATTGCTGTTGTCTGTACACCTWTGCGCATTAATAGAGACTCTGCGAAAACCTGACTAACTCCTGGGACGTTGTTTTTTTATTATTTGACTCTTTGAAACCCACAACATGGCCTTCTTGAACTCAACTGAACTTATAAGTATGACAAAAACTGCCAAGATATTTGTGAAGGACATTGCGCGCACATGGTAAATAGTGTATGCTCCATTCCTTCATTCCATTCAATTCCACTCACTAAACAAAGTTATTACTACGGTGCTAATTAGATGTTTAGATTTGTAATTTTGTAAATGCGTGCTCAGTGCGTGCTCGGTGTCCGCCTGAAGCTCTCGTCGACGTGCTTGGGCATCTTGGAATTATAACTGCGCGCACAGCGATAGAACATCTTCCARCAGCATGAAGTATTCATGCAACATTTTGCAGCACTGCATTTCGTAAGTGTCAATAAACGGGTCATTAAAACGTAACATTAAGAATCGGGAGGCCTCTTACAGCGTCGGGACCTATTTTTGCGCTTGGATGATAAAGTTTTGAGATTATACTAGACCTKTGTTCTGCCGGTGCATGTAAGATATTGACCTTAATATCCTTAAAAAAACATATGAAAGTATTGCCTTCACCTCGCGCAAGTTATATTAAAATACGCTCACATAATTTAGATTTCACGTCGCATTTACAATTAAATGTGACTTTGTGCGCAATTTTTGCATAAACTTTGCGTGCGTCGTAAGTGCGTTTTGTAAATATATCAACAGCAAAGTAGTGTTTCTGCCGGATACTTTTTGTTTTCGCACGGTTTTGCTCCAAAAAGACAACATGACATTGAAACAATTACTATATTGGTCGACCTTTAGTCGTGACAACGAAAAAAAGCATCCTTTCCACTCGGAGCTCCATTATCTGAGTTCCATAAAATTCATGCGTGTATTTCTTATTGTACATGAAAACAAATCATATCTTAATTGCTAAAATAATAAAGTTTTTTAAATGCTTTAAAATTCCTGCAGCGCGGCCCATTAGATCAAGTTTGMTGCTGTGATCAACTTGAACTTCGTTTAACTTGAATCATTTCGCAGCGYCGTWACATTCRCCCTTTTTCTAWCTCWACAAGGCTTRATTTTGAYCCRAAA